GGGATAAAATCTTTGCAAAGTATATAACTCACTAGGGACTTCTATCTGGGCGATATGACAAGTTCTAAAAACTCAACAATAAGATAACATGCAACCCAATTTAAAACCTGGCAAAAGAATTAAACAGATACTTCATAAAAGAAGATATAAGGATGGCAAGTAAGCTCATGAAAAAATGCTAGACATGATTAGTACAAATTACAACTACAATGAGATACTACTTACTACACATGTATTAGACTATCAAAATAGACCCACACCTTTATTTTCTGACTTTGGACTTGTGTGGAGATGTAAGGTATGGAGCATCTTCTAATTCTGAGAAGAAAGTCAAGAAAATTGTGAAGATCCTGATGACTGGGGGAAAAATTGGAAACCAAATCTTCTGCCAACCCAGAAAATCCTCTCCACAAATATAGCAGAGAAAGAAAACATTTTAGAAAACATTTTTATCATTGGATAAGCATGAAACCAGGCTACAATTTGCATCACAGGCAGATTGCAAAGACAGAAATCTCACCTTCCCATATAGCCAGATAGATACAATCCATTACATACGTGTTCTGAAGATAGATTATAACTTGTCCGTATGTAAGAATACTTTCTCCACAGCACCACTTGCTATGCAGAGTTCATTCTAAATTCACATGGTGATTCAGGTGACCATCTGTGTTAATTAATTGTCTTTAACCAAAGGAAAACTGACACTTCCATCTCTGACCAGGGTTAATTAAGAGCTTTGGAGAGAAAGGCACCTAAGCGTCCCACAGTGATGGGGACATTGGGGTGCATCTTCCTTGATGATTGTGTTGCAAAGGCAGGCCTCTAGGAGAAACTCAATTGTAAAGCTGGCAAGAGGTTTATTCAGCTTTTAAAAATTAGATTTACGTACATTTCAGAGGGACAGTTAAGTTTTCTCAAAGCAGTGATCTAAGAAGAAGGAAGGAAGGATAAGATGTTTTGGCACCAGGAAAAATTTAATATTTTATTAACCTTTACAAAACCCAGAGCTCTGACAGGGTTTTACTGCTGAATGAACCAGCCTTTGTTACCATCTACCTCTGGGCTTTCTGTTATAGAAGCTGACCCCCACTGTGTATGTAGTTTAGGTATCCTGTATCCTGTAGGCAAAATCATCCTAACTTACTCATCCCCTGAGGGTGAGCAAAATGAATCCCTCACAGCTCCCTTATATCTCAAGACAAGGCCTAAACCATTGCAGTGATCAGAAATACCTGCTTTCTTCGTTTATCTTTAAAAAAAAAAATGCATGTGTATTTTGCATTTGAATTTGTAATATACCCACATTAGTTTTAAGATTTCTCTCTTCCCCATCCCTTCCCCTTAAAAAAAACCCAAAAAAACAAAACAAACTTTAAGATTTGAGAAAAGATGTGGGAAAGAGCAGAGGGGCAGGTCCTTCTGGAGAGATTAAAAATTGTTTTAATGTGTATCTTTTTTTTAAAATTTATTTATTTGAGAGAGAGAGAGAGAGCGTGGTGGGAGGGGCAGAGGGAGAGAATCTTCAAGCAGACTGCTCTCTGAGCGGGGAGCCCAGTGCAGGCTTGATCCCACAACCCATGAGATCATGACCTGAGCCAAAACCAAAAACCAGACGCTTAACTGCCTGAGCCACCCAGGTGTCCCCAGTGTGTTACCTTTTAGAATATAATTTCCACTGAGTATGTTTCAATTTCATTTGATTTCTAACCAGTCTGTTCCAAAGACATTATTGAAACATTAGAAGTATAAATGAAATGGAAGTTTTAGGTAAATTATTTTTCAGGCAATCTAAGGTGTTTTTTTTTTATGAGTTACATATACATGTAAATGCAAGCCTTTTTAGAGTTGGAACATCTTCCCATGATACACTGAACATTGCCATTGGTAGTTGTGAAGAAGAATAAATGTGTCATCAAGGCTTGTTTGATAAGTCAACATAAAGGACCAAGTAAGTACATATTAACTTGGCAGTTGGTTCTTTTAGCTTTACCATTTCTCTATCGACACTTAAATTTTTCTCTTCAGATTTGGTTGACTTTTCTTTCTGTAAAACTTGCCTGTTCGGTTACTACCAACACTTGTGTTTAGATGACTTCTGGCATCACCACCTCCCAAATACCTTGTCTTTAGATGGGAGAAAGTTAAAAGAGACATATATGAACAACATTTAAAAATAGCCCTAAAAAGGGGTGTCTGGGTGGCTCAGATGGTTAAGCATCTGCCTTCGGCTCAGGTCACGATCCCAGGGTTCTGGGATCGAGCCCCACATCGGGCTCCCTGCTCGGCGGGAAGCCTGCATCTCCCTTTGCCTCTGCTGTTCCCCCCGCTTGTGCTCTCTGGCTCTCTCTGTCAAATAAATAAATAAAAATCTTAAAAAAAAAACAAACCCTAAAATGTAAGCCACACATCCATTCAAACTGAAGTACTTAATAGCACCTTTTTATATGCCTATAGGCTTTTGTCAAAACCGTTTGTCATCTATTAAAACCTAGTTTTAAGAAAATTAATACTAAAGGAAAAAATAGTAGTGTGGTAGCTAATTTAGATTGTAGACTTTTCTCAGCTTTCACAGCAAAGATCACAATTCTCCAGTTGTTCTATTTTTAAAATCCATGTTAAAAATCTTAAATCAGTAACAGTATACCACGTCCTCAACATCCTCTTCTGAATGTGTAATCCAAAATTAAAAAGAATTGTTTAGCTATATTATTTTAATTTCAAGCATTGATTTTGTTATAAATTTGTGAGTGTGTGTGTGGTGTGTGTGTTTGTGTGAGTACATGTGTTTCTGTGAGTGTATGTGTGTTTGTGTGAGTGTGTGGTATATGTGTGTTTATGGGAGAGTGTGTGTGTGTGTGTGTCCCCGTATGTCTAACCTCTGCTCTCTAGTCTTGCTCCAGACCCGTTGGACCAAGCAGCAGTGGTAAAGGTCTAGAGGTATCCTGGAGGTTGGGGGTGGAAGCTGTATTAGTTCCTAGGGCTGCCTTAACCAGTTATCACAAACTTGATGGCTAACAGAAATTTATTTTCTCCTAATTCTGGAGGCCTGAAGTCTGAAGTCCATTCCATCTGAAGGTGTTCCTTGGCGTGTAGCAATATAGCTTTAATCCTTGTCTCTGGCTGAATGTGACCCTCCTCCCTATGTGCCTCTGGGCCCAAATCTCCCTCTCCTTTCTCCTGTAAATTACAAGTTACTGGATTTAGGGTAGGCCCTAAATCCAAGATGATTTCATCCCAAGATCCTGACTGATGACATCCCCAAAGACCCTATCTCTAAATAAGGTCACATTCTGAGCCTCCAGATGGACGTGAATGGGGGAGGTGGGCACACTGTTCAACCCACTATAGTAGTATTTAATTAGGTTCCTTTTATTATTTTATTTTAGAGAGTCGGGGGAGGAGCAGAGGGAGAGGGACAAGCAGACTGTGGTGAGCACAGAGCCCAACATGGGGCTTGATCCCATGACCCCGAGATCACAACCCAAGCTGAAGCCAAGAGTCCGAGGATCAACTGACTGAGCCACCCAGGCACCCTTAATTAGGATCCTTTTTAAAAATGGTTTAAAAATAATATTCCTAAAAAACCTAAAACTAATGTCCCTTTTTGTTATCTGAAACTTCCACATTCATTATTTTCTTGATTTTTGTAATGTTTGTGTTTACATCAAGTACTTCCATAGCATCCCCCACGGAAAGGAATCATTTTGTGGGAAACTCTTGAATTTTCTCTCACTGTTCCTTCACTCACTTCTCTCTCAAGAAGTGATGAAATTAGAACAAGCCTGATCCATCAGCCCACATTTAACCAAGAGACATGGGATTGCACAGAACATAGCGCTTTCGGACACGTTTGTGCCCAGAACTCCAGGAGCTTGTGCTTCTGGTCTCCCTACAGTAAGCAGACCCAGCAGTCTCTTGCTGACATCCAGCCAAGTCTGTTTTTTCAGTTCCAACTTCTCTGCCCGTGACGTGGTGGATAAATTTCGAGTCAAGCAGGTCTCAACGTCTAGGGTCAGGGAGTGAGGTTGGAAGCCCTGTTGCTCTCCATTCCAGCTTTACCAGTTATAACGTTAACAGGCAGTCCCCATTTACCTCAGGACTGTCTGTTTTTACTTGCTCATCTAAGAACTGTAATGGTAATCAGAAAAGATATTAATGTGCCTATTTTTAAGATAAAGAAATTTCAGCAAAGTCACTGTAAAGGAGTTCTTCACCAAATCCTAATGAAGAGTTAGAACCCAGATTTCCTGATTCTCTGGAGTTGGTTTTCTTATGCTCACCTTGAAGACTGCTTTCATAGAATTTAGATTGGAATATGCCCAACATTATAGGTCACAGTTACTGTTTGTGTCAACTCTGTCATTGTTGATTTCTGAGTGACCACCTTGGCTTGCAGTGCCCATGGAGAGGTCGGGAATCCTTGCCTTCATATAAACAATGCTGTTACCTATGGAGAGCAGTCATGAAATTCTTAGACCTCCTATTAATCCATAGTGTTTCTGAAACCTTCATTAAACAGTTGGCATTACCTGCTGGAAGAACTGCAAAAACTACTCAAGTATCAGTATATAAAAGTCCTTGCTAGGTCCAGATAATATACTAGTTATTTCCTTCAGCGTCTGTTAATAAATGTGAATTAATCAATTCGTACTTGTACTCTGAGCTCTGTAAGCTGCCAAAATAGGTGATTGATCTTATGACTTTTAAAAGAATGTCTGTGAAAAAATCATGAAGTGGTTTGTTTTATGCCATTTTATAACCTTGTCCTGTGTGCTTCCAACAGGTATGTGGACTTTGTTAACTCTCTTACATCAGAAGTCTAGTTGTGCATCTCCCTGGATTTTCTTATGCACTGCACTATTCTAGAACACGTTATTATGTTTTAGATCGTGTGAGTGAGTTTCATTCTGTGATGTGTTTTTCATCAAAGCTGTTTAAAGTAGGTTATTGGTTTCCTCTGCCACTGTGACTAGATCACTTGATCTTGTTGAATTCTAACTGAAGCTCATTTCTCTCCCTTTTATTTTCAGATATTTGTATCTGCTGTTCTCCAGTGATGACCTTTTACCTTTAGACCACTGGGTATTCAATACAGAGGCTCATCCTCTGCCCGTGTTACATTTAGCCAACACCACACTTTCAGGAAATCCTGCTGTTCGATGAAAGCAGCTCCAGAAAGACCATTCTCACCTGTGTTTTGTTTACATGGACTACTACAGAAATTAGTCTGGAGAGGGGGCTTTGGGAAACCTGGACCTCATAAGTCACCATGGCAGGGTGAAACATGACTATGCCCCACAGGACTTTTCAACTTGTAGATATCTCAACTTTGAAATGATTCCATTTTATACCTGACCAAAATATATTCTGGTATTATGTAAGACAAAGACCTGGTATGCTTGGATTCTTAAAGAGATGGTCACATGGGAAATTTTGCCTGTTACTACTATATTGTTTTTAGAGTCCTGGAATCTGGAGTCTAGACTGCCTAAGAATAAGCCAAGAATGTGGAGCACCTTGTGGGAGTGAGAGATGGCCTTTGGAACCAATTATATATGTGTTCCTTCCAAAGCGGAGCAGCTTTCAAATCAAATATTTACTTATCGTTTCTCCCCCTTTTCTCCATTTTTAATAATGGAAGGAACTAAAACAAAAGAACAGTGGAACTGCATCAGGAGCAATGAAGACTGGAAAAAGAAACCCAAGTACCTGTCCCTGTCTCAGTTTCTAGTTCCCCATTGGATGACCAGACTGGCAACCATTTCAGATCCCAATGTATTCCATTGAAATTTCTTGGTTAAATTTAATTTTCTCTGGGGGCATGATCTCACAAAGAATACTCTTCAAGTCTTTGTCTCCATATGGAATCATTGAAACTGCTATTTATCATAACCACTACTTATGAGCCTGGGTTTGGGATTTTGTGCATGTTGATCAGTCTAGTGTGGTAGCATGACCAAAAGTGGGGGAAACGCTGCAGTTTGTCGCCTTGAAACCTGTTCTAAGAGAAAGCCTTGGTTTTGTTGGGAGGAGATTTTTTTTTTCCAAACCAGCGAATCTACCAAGTGAATTTTATCCACTTTAACCTTGTTATAAATTTAGTAAAATCCCTCAACTTACGACTTTCTGTAGCTTGGCAAAATTCACTATACTATTATGCAGCTCTGAATTTACCCAAATTTCTTTTACAGCCTATTAAATCAAAAAACAAAATACAGTGAAACTTGCTTAAACATTCTATCCGGAGTGGGAACAGGGGATCCTTTATTTATTATCTCATCAGATGAGTGAACTTTTCACAAATATTTTATGTAAAAAATAAAATTCAGCTTTTATTTTCTGCAAGGGTATTTATAGAAATCCAAAGAACAGCTTCAAAATAATTTTTAGCAAAAAAAAAAAATGTATAATTAATCATACTAACTAAATTTGGGATATATCTAAGGGAGTTTCTCTTACCATCAGATTTTACAGTGATATTTATTTTTAAAGAAATTACTATTTCTTTATATTTGGGGGGAAGAACTTAAATTTTATCAAGAACTGTATTGTAAGATAAATATGCTTATAAATTTTCTGTCCCTTAAATTCACGTCACAGTGCAAGACACTTTTTCTTCTTTACATTTAATACAAACAGCTTCCATTGACAGTAAAAGTTGGGAGCAGTGTAATTACTCTGATATTTACTGTGAATTTGAAGATTTTGTGAACAGTGTTTGGGGAAGAAGCCCACCTTGGATTCTGAAGGCATATTTTCTTATTTTGATAGCTTTTCTGTTTAACCTTTTAGCATGTAGTAGATTTAAATTGGAGAAAAGATTTAATAAATTAATATAATTAAGTATTTTCTACGGGTTATCATCTTACGCCACCAAGAGTCAGACAGTCCTCACAATTTAGCAAATGATCCCCAGCGTTTTCAGTATACCTAGAAAATAAGAATGTGGAGCCCAGTGCATTATTTAAGTTTTTAAGAGAGTTAAATTTTAGCACACATTTTGAAATTGTAATATCTTTTACTACTTGAAAAATAAAAATTTTTAAATGAGAAGGATAGATAACTAACTTGAGAAAGGAAGAGTATTTTGTTCTCAGAAACATGTTAGCCTTCCTCCTAAAAATAGTGCAAGCCCACTTATGAGTCACTAAAAAGTGTGAACAACTTGAGGGAGCAAAGAGCCACTGGGTAGCTGGCCGTGCGCCCACGCGCACTTTGTTCAGAAGAGTGCAGAGTAAAGGGGCCTTCTTGGTCTCCCAGGAGCCTCTCAAGGAAGGAGAAGACAGAGCCCCCACCCACAAGTGCTCGGTTTCTATCTCTGGGCTGACTGGGACTTAAGAGGAGGCAGAGAGATGTCCGAGCATGGCCAGTTCTCACACAAGCGAAGAATCTGACGGGGCAGAGGAAGGGTCGTCTTCACCACCCACTCCCTTGCCTGTGATGAAAGAAGACTAGTGCTTATCACAATGCTTCCATTGTTTTTTTCTCTGAATACCAAAGGCAATTAAAGTCAGCTACAAATGACTTGCCAGTGTCATGTTTTGTTTTGTTTTTACAGATTTTTAAAATTATTTCCTCTAGGATCAGTCCTTATCCCATATTTACTTAGTTTCCAAGAGTATTTACTTTCTTCTGTCCCTTACCATCCTTTGCATTTTGTAGACCTATTACTCAGGTTAAAATGCTCATTTCACGTGTAAGATCTTCACAAAGAACCTAGAGATGCTCCTTTCCAGGTGCCTCATCAGAGAGCTGACACCTCACTTTGTGCATTTGGCACAAATGTGCTGAGTAGATAGATCAGTTGGTACATAAAAGAAAAATAGAGATGTTGAACACCCCTCTACCTTCTACATTTCTCTCTTAGAATTTTAGAATCACACTTTTTTGTTGAAACCGGTCTGAAGTTGTTAAAGCCAAGCGAATGCGGCCCTAACCAAAAAGTCATCTCTGCAGAAAAACAAGACCCCAGTCAGAGGGTTCTTGCTTTCTGGTGGGTTGCATGTATGTGCTGTTTTGTATCTGACACCCATTTACACCCATCTTTGAGCAGATGTTCATATGTAAGAGTGAAGCCTGGATATTGGAGGAATGTGTTCCTCTTGTGGATGTTGACCCTCATTCTCTGTGACGTCAGCTAAGGCACCCCTGGGCTGCCCTTGGTAGATCGTAACCAAGCAGTTTGGAACCGTGACCATTGGCTTCTCATCTCCACTCTCCTTTGCCAAAGTCTTTGTCCGAGCTACAGATTTGTTGATAAAAGATTGTGCTTGCCATTCTCGTTATGCAGTTTCTCCTTCCGCCTGGATTTCTGTGAATGAATGCACGAGTGAATGAGAGAATGAGTGAACAAACATGGAGTCCCTAATATGTGCCGAGCGAGCATTGTGCTAGGCATGCACTCTCAAGCATTAGAACATTTGTGATTCCAGTGGCATTTTCTGTGTAAGAGTAATTCATACCATTTTAAATGTTTTCCAGTATGAATTATGTTACAAAATCCTTAATTTTATATTTCATTTAAATTAAAGAGGAAAAGAAATGGTTTATAATATATTTTAAGCAATGTGTTACTATATAATACTAACAGCTATAATTGTAGTTAATAACTAAAGTCTCTTGGAAAATGTCAAAGAAATACTTGACTTCTGATGCAACTTTGACTAAAATATTTACTTTAGAAATAAAAACATTGTTTTGCTATATCACTTTAATTATATAATTAAAAATTAGTGTTTTATAGAAATGCTGGTTATTTTATATTCAAAAAATTTTGTCATGTAAGTCATGGGTAAGATCTGCAGTTGTAAATTGTTCTTGCTCTGCTAAGGGTCCTGCTCATGGTCCCATGCTGTTAAATATAAAGAAAAATATACTAAAATATTTCTAAGTTCCAAATAACAAGTTTCTAGTAATCATATTTTGAGTTCTTATTTTTCTTTAGGTCTCCTTACCTTCAAATTGGCTAGCTCATATCTTATCTGTTCTCTACGTAGATATATACATAAATACAATTATTCACAGAGATTTTTAATATCGTCTGTGTTTGTTAACAAACACAAACACAGTTGTTAACTAGTTCTGTCTACACGGATTGTAAGCAGAATGGTTGAGTTAGCCAAATATGATCTGGAGATATTTTAATGTACTTTTCTGGTTCAAGAACACAAGTGAAGATGATTTTCTGTTACTTCAGCTCCTTCAGATCATGATGGAAACATTCTTTGATCTATAATGGGTCAGCAAGCTTTTCTGTAAAGGGCCAGATAATAAATATTTTAGGCTTTGTGCATCATACAGTGTCCTATCTCTATTACTCAGTTCTGCCATCGGACCATGAAAGCTGGCATAGGCGATATGTAAATGAAGGGGTGTGGCTGTGTTCCAATAAAACTTTATTTACAAAAGTATGGAGAGCTGGATTTGGCCCATGGGTCATAGTTGTTAACCTTTTATCGCAAGTTTAATTTCTGTAAGACCCTTATGTAATCTCTGATCAGCATCTTTTCTCTGTGTTTGAGTTACGTAATTCATTTTCAAAGCAAAAAGATGGTGTGTATGTATGATTGTATGGATTTGTGTAACCTAAAGCTATATATTTTGTTGTCTTGAAAATAGATCTACTCTTCTGGAGTCTGTTCAGGTTCCAATCTGATACAACTGTCATGAAAGTGGCATTTTTTGTTGTTGTTATTGTTGTTTGGGGGGTATTCTCTCAGCCAGTTTCCTTGCCTTGTCATTTAATGCCACAATTCCAGACTCCCCATATAAAAAGGAAGGTCTCTGTGGTGTCAAAATATTGAGTCTTTCCGGGTTCTGCCTGCTCGTTGATCATTGGACCGGGACTCTGGCTTGCTGGAGCTGCAAAACTCTTCCACTTGAGTACTCTCAGATCCCTACAACGAGAATATGATAGAATCTCTAACCTTCATGCTGCCAAAACCAATCTCTTGAAAAATTTGAAGCAACAGAAAATGGGGTATGTGCCTCATTTGCCATTTGGCAGCCACTATTCCTTTTTCAGACTGCAGAATGGTCCTGCCTCTGTTACCTTGAGAACAGCCTAAATCTGAGTGCAGAGAAAAGATACATCCAAAAGGAGAGTTCCCTTTTCTCTTACTGCATAACTTGCCTCAATTCCTTTACAAGTCCATCGCATTATTTCAGAATGTCAATATGCATCATATTTAAATTAAAGCATCCCTCAACGTCAGCCTTACATTTCCACTGTTGAACAGCTAATCTCTTCTAAACTTTGCTTGAGCCCAGCAGCACTGGTGAAATTACTCAGTTACACGACACCATATTACTAGTATATACGTTGCAGTGTACCAGTCATCGTGACTGAGAGAGATTTTTCACTAAGGAGTGTATCAAATAGGCATTTCATTCTTTTTGGAAATTCTAGAGGAGGGGAGCCCTGTAAATGAGCTGCCTTTCTAGGTCCAGCATATGCAGAGGGCTTCAGTTCGGTGTGGGTGTAAGTGTGAGCACACAAACACAGAAACCCACATCTATACGTGTTAATATGCACAAGATTTTAATCGCAAACGTCTTGCTGCTATTGAATGCTACAGAATTCTATGGCAAATTGCTTACCAGGACATTCCATGGAGATAAGTTCAGCTCGCTCTTGAGAAAAATTATTTCTTAGAAAACAAATTAGTTTTTGTTGGATTAATTAAATAAGGTATCCCCCGTTTTAATTACTAGATTTGGAAATTGAAGTGCCATTCCTCAATCTCACTGGTCTCAAATTCACTGATAAAATTTTTCCCTAAACTAGTAAGTGGGGTAAGTATAACCTCCTAGATCGGTACCCACTGGCCGCTCTTGAACTGATTTCCAGTCATGTCCTCCATATGTAATTTTTATAAATTAAAGGTAATATTGTATATTAAAGATCAAATAAAGATGTTCCTTAAGTGAAAGTCTTTGTTTATCCTTCATTTGTACCCACTGATGGCAACAGAGTTCAATCTTCCTACTTACATGACAACTTTGGCTTTTTTTTATAACTGGTAGTCTTCAGTCTCCTACTTTCAGAGAGTATTTCTCTTGATTCAGCTAATCTTTACACTTACTGGTTTATTGATTTTTTTTAAAGATTTATTTTGGAGAGAGAGCGCACGCGGAGGGGAGGGGCCGAAAGAAAGAACGAGAATCTCAAGCAGACTCCCCTCTGAGCGTGGAGCCCAGTGCGGGGCTCAATCTCAGGATTCTGAGATCCATCTGAGCCGAAATCAAGAGTCAGACGCTCAACCAACTGAGCCACCCAGGCGCCCCTGTAAAGGGTAATTTTTATCCCATCTGATTTTGAGAAAACTAACTATAGACCTATGTGACAATCTTACAGTGTTACTGTGCCTGGTACCTCTAAGACCCAGTCCAACCTCTGAGGTCATTGAGCTTAAATCCTGCCTTAATCACTGGATCTCATTCTGTCACATTAAAATCTGACCTGATTCTTGAGCAAAGACGGGCTTTGGGGGCCTGAGGAATAGGATCAGCTAGACTATAGATAGTGGTTTAATCTATCAATACTGTAAAGACATAGGATTTTTATTTTTAATTTTTTTAGATTTTATTTATTTGAGAGAGAATGAGTGGGAGAGAGCGCGCACATGAGAGAGGGGAGGGTCAGAGGGAGAAGCAGACTCCTTGCTCAGCAGGGAGCCCAATGCGGGACTCGATCCCGGGACTCCAGGATCATGACCTGAGCCGAAGGCAGTCGCTTAACCAACTGAGCCACCCAGGCGTCCCAAGACATAGGATTTTTAAAACCTTGAGCCCATGTGGCATCAAATAAGATAGTGGTAAAACCTGAAGCAACAGCTAATTTACAACCAGCGTCTCATTCTTCCCTGCACAGTGGATTTCAACTTGATCAAAATTTTAAACAAGGAAATTTACCTTGTGGGTGTATCAAAATTCATTGCGGACTTACGTTTTCAAGAACAATGAAAACGGGACCAGATAAAAGAATAAGGATCTCTGGGTGGCTCCGATTTGATAAAACCTGGGCCTCTGTCTGCCAGATACCTGCAATTTCCATCATTATTTTATTGGGTTACAAAAGATTGTCAACATGCAAATAGCATTCACGTTAAGAGAATGGGTTCATCACAGAAACATCATAGATTGGTGATTACTGGAGGGTGGGGGGATGGAAATGCTGGCCACAGGGCACAAACCTCTATAAGATGAGTAAGTTCTGGGGATGTAATGTACAGATGGTGACTACAGTTGACAGGTCTGTATTACATACTTGAAACTTGCTGAGAAAGTAGGTTTTAATGTTCTCATCACACACAAAAAGTATGTAAGAGGATGGGTATGTTAACTAAGTTTATTGTGCTGATCATTGCACAATATATACCGTATATCAAATCATATGCAGCTTAAGTTTGCACCCGCTTATGCCAATTCTATCTCAGTAAAGCTGTTTTTAAGGAAGCATGGAACCCATATGCTTTTTTTAAAAGCTTTACTGAGATGGAATTGGCATAATGTGTAAGATGAAACTGCACCTCATTGGCTGACCTAACACAATTTTTTAAAATTTTGTGATAAATTTAAAATGTGCTATTTTAACCAGTGTTAAGGAAGGGTACAGTGCCTTGGCATTAATAGTTACCTTAATGATGTTGTGTAAGCATCATCACTATTTCTAAAACTTGCTCATCACTTCCAATGCATCTCTGTAACCGTTAAACTCGTTCTCCCTTTCCCCTCCAAGAAAAAATTTCAATTTCTTAACCCCAAGAAAATCACCATTTTCTTGTTGGTAAAAAGAGAATAATAAAGGATTTTCAGGAGAATTTTCATTTGAGAAAAATCCATGCTCCCGGCCTGAAATGAGCTCACAAGTTCTGTTACTGTTTCTAATTATTTATTGGCAGATCAGAGTAATCATTTCTAAAGGAATAGAAAAATTTTTTTAATAAAGAGGGGAAGGGCATGGGTGCCTGGGTGGCTCCGTTGGTTAAGCGTCCGACTCTTGATCTCAGCTCAGGTCTTGATCTCAGGGTCATGAGTTCAAGCTTTGCATTGTAGCATCGTACTCCCTGCAGGGCATGGAGCCTACTTAAGGAAAAAAAGAAAAAGGGGGGAAGGGCAGTTAGGTCAGAAAAGAGCCAAGAAAACCATCTAGTTCTACCTCCTTATACATAAGGAAATTGAAATCAAAAGGGGTAAAATGAAGGCATTAGATAATCTTTAAGATGGTTTTCCAGTTTTGTCATTCATGATTCTATGAAATAAGACTTGTGCAGTTTTGTTACAAAAAATTTAACAACAAACAAGTATGCTCATAATATATATGAACCAAGCAGTTTATTTATTTTAACCAAGCAGGTTTTTTTTTTTTTAATTTTATTTATTTTGACAGAGACAGACACAGTGAGAGAGGGACCACAAGCAGGGGGAGTGGGAGAGGGAGAAGCAGGCTTCCTGCCGAGCAGGGAGCCCAATGCGGGGCTTGATCCCAGGACTCTGGGATCATGACCTGAGCTGAAGGCAGTCGCTTAACGGCTGAGCCACCCAGGCACCCCTTTAACCAAGCAGTTTAAAAACTATAGAAATCATTTTTTTTTTTTTTTTGCTAAAACACACAGCAAAAAATGTAGATTAAAAATGGCCGTTATCTTTGTGGGGTAAGGATATAAGAATTAATTTTTTGATATTTGTTTGTTTAAAAAAATAACAGCTTTCTTGAGGTGTGATTTACATCAGGCTTTCCCACTGCAAGTGGGAACTAGTGGATGCTGAGTGAGCTTACAGGGCATACAACACTCTTATCCACAAAGACCCAGCATGCCCACTTGCAGTCAATCTTCGTTCCTATCCTGGCTTCCGACAACCACTAATCTACTTATAGATTTGCCTTTTCTGGACACATACACATGGCATCATTCACATGTGGTCTTTTGCCTCTGGCTTCTTTAACCTAGTGTAACGTTTTCAAGCTTTATGCTGTAGCAAGTATCAGGAGTGTTCCTTTTTGTTGCTGGAAATACTTCATTGTATGGATATATCATAGTTTGTTTATCCACACACCAACTGATGAACATTTGGATTGTCTCCACTTTTTGGCTA